TCAGCACTTGAGACACATTGATCATTGTTTTCGCGGTTCTGTTAAAATTCTTTCACTTTTCGCCTCTATATCTATCTATCTATCTGAATCTGTTCACTATGTGCGGTGGAAACTCGTAACGACAGAACAGCGGGAAGGGGGATGACGATGTCCGCCCCCTCAACGCTCAAGTCGACTCAGGCTTCGGCCTCCTGGCGCGCCGCCTCCTCGCCGCCTCCCTCTGCGCCCCGCGCCGGCGCACGACGCGGCTCAACCGCCGCCGCCTGCGCGCCCTGCGCCTCACGCGGCGCCTCGGCGGTCCCTCGGCAGCTCTCGCCTCCGTTGGCGCGCGTGAGCGCCTCTGCGACGAGGAGGTCCTAGTCGAGCCGCGCGAGGGCGAGGGCGAGGATGGCGCAGAGGAGGGCGTACCCAACCGCGACGCCGTAGTAGACGGCGCCGAGCGAGCGCCTCCAGTACACGACGAGCAGCGCGACCGCCGGCACCTGCCCCGCCCAGGCCGGCGAGCAGCACCGCGCGCGTGCGGCCGGTCGCCATGAGCAGCCCCTCCAGCACGACGGCGAGGTTCATCGAGAGTGTGGCGAGGCAGAGCCTACCCTCGGACGATCTCGAGTGCGCTCGGTCTGATCTCGGGCGATCTCGCCACGGCGGCGAGGCAGGGCCCGAGAAAACAGACACGCCAAACGAGGGATGGGACGAGGACAGGGTCCCCACCTGCACGAGCAGGATTTTGGAAGGACGATCAGGGGGACAGGTGGGGCTCTCCTGCTCCTTGGCGAGGGGGAGTTGGCGGGGTGAATTCTTTGTTTTAGTCCGCGCCAGTCTGCGCCCTTGTCGTGCCAGTGTGCTGTGAGAGAGGCTTGTATCTTAAGAATTCTTTGTTTTGCGTGTTGGAAGCTCTGGCACTCGAGGTCGAGAATGGCGCTCGCTGTGGTTGCCGTCTTCTGCTCTGGCTTCCAGCGACTGCCCCAGCGGTTGCCGTCTTCTGCCCCGGTGCGGCCGGCCAGCCGTGCGGCAGCGTACATGGCACTTCCTGAGCTGTACGTGTACGATCACTGTCCCTTCTGCGTGCGTGTGCGCGTCGCGGCCGGCGTGCTGGGCGTTCCGCACAAGCTCGTCTTCATGGGGAACGACGACGTGGAGACGCCCACGGTTCGTCGCCTCGCACCGCGTCTCTATCCGCCACACCCATTGACCACACAGAGCGCTGCCGGACACACCCGCTTGCGGACGCTGCATGCTCTCCCACCTTGCTGCTGCGCCGTGCCGCCTCGAGCCGCCGCGCACTCTGGCAGGCAATGGTTGGCAAGAAGATTGCGCCCATCTGGGTGGACGAGGAGGGCCCGATGGCCGAGTCGCTCGACATCATCGCCAAGTTTGATGCCGGCGGACAGATCGCCCCTGCGTCGGGACGCACCGACCTCAAGGTGCCGCTGCTCCGAGAGTCAAACAGATAGACCGACAGACTCAAAGACGGGCAGATCCGGCAGGCAGGCAGGCAGGCAGACTGACAGGCAGCTCCAGCCCGCCACTGCCCTGTGTGACATCACGGCGCCGCCTCGCTGCCCCAGCGTAGACGCCTTTTACCCAGCGCAGACGACGGCGTCCCAGTGACAGTACAGCTTTGTGAGATTGTGAAAGGCCTGTGCGGCCCAACAGTGTATCACACATCCTCCGCTCGTCGCCGCCACACACCGCCCGTTCCTCCCTGCCGCCTCTGCCCTCGCCACCTCTGCCCTCGCCACCTCTGCCCTCGCCTCTGCCCTCGCCGCCTCTGCCCTCGCTGAGCCCGCCGTCTCCGCCGCCGCGCAGGCGTGGCAAAAGTCGGTCCAGACTCTGATGCGCAAGCTGCAGCGGCCGCGCTACGTGATGGTGCCGCTGCCCGAGTTTATGCAAAAGGCGGGGCGCGATGCTTTCGTCGCCAACCACCAGATGCCGCCGTTTGAAAAGAGCGAGTGGAAGGGCAACCCGGACATGCCCCTCGAGCAAAAGTACCAAAAGTACTCGGAGGCCTTCGCGCAGACCCCCGAGCTCCTGGCGGAGGCGAACGCGAAGGTGGCAGAGCTCGAGGGGATGATCCACGCGCCGGAGGCGTGCACGGAGGGCCTTGGCTTCTCGTACGACGATGTTGACCTGTGGGCACGGCTGCGCTCGCTGACGGTGGTGAAGGGCCTGCAGATCGGGCCAAAGACGCGCGCGTACCTCGACCACTTTGCAGAGGCGGGGGACGTCCCTCTCTACGACGTGATGGCTGTATGAGACACCACGCCCCCGCGAGCACGGCGGGGGCGCGAGCACGGCGCTCTGTCAGCGGCCTAGGAGCATAGTAGAAGAGGGAGGCCTGATGTGGCCGACGCAGTGGCCGGCCGGCAGCGTTATGCGACGGCCTAGCCGGTGGGAATTTCTTTCTTGTTCCGGCAAGATCCAACCCCCCCAAAACGTATAAAGGGGTTAAAAGCGAAAAGTGTGCGACACAAGAATCTATTTTCAAGAATCAAGACGATGAAGATCATTCGCCACAGCCGCTCGAAGCGACTCTGCCCCTAGAGAGAGACCCTCGGACCGCGGCGCACTCTCGGCTCCGCCTCGTAGTGTGAGGGAATTGCACCGCGCGCCGTGCCTGGGGCTCCTGCCCGTCCGGGGTGTGGAGATGTGATGGCCGCGCCCCTCATGCCTTACGAGGTCACTTGCAATCCGCCGGCGTGGCAAGAAGAATGAGTCCACTTCAACTTCTACGCCCGATCGAGGGACGAGGGCAAACCGCGCGTACCTCCGATGGCGGACGGATCCCACATGTTGACGGAGCCCTGCCGCTGCAGGCGAGCAAGTCGTGCCTTTCGCGATCCTCCCCTGAGCTTTCCCCAGCTGACGTTGAGGGCAGGGACGAAGTCGGCACGACCGCCGTTCAGCTAGTTTCGCTACATTCGGACGCCCACGTTTGATTGAGATTTTA